CTGACCATCAGTTTGAGAAGAGATGTCATCTTATATAATGAAACCAAGTTTCTTAGTAGAGGAAGGAAAGAAGAAATAACTAATATTTTAATTTGTAAATTGTAAAAAAAAATAGTGATAAAATGTATGTTATTATTACTGTTATTTCTTATGGTCTCACTTTCAAAACTGCCAGGGTTTGAACAGCAATTCTCTTTGCTAACTAAGGGTACCCCAAAACTTCTTTAACTTCTATCTAAATATATAAAATGCTCTGGGACCAACTTTAAGCAAACATACACAGTGTGATTAAAATTATTAGAATCCTCACTTAAAATAAATGAAATTAAAAGAAATTCACTGCAATCTGCAAATTGCAATTTCCTAAAGGAAACCTGTGTTTGAAATTAAGTTGTTCTGTGAACCAGGTGACTTCACTGCATGTTAAACATAGCTGCATATCTCAAGAGACCTTAATGGGTTGTGACAGGTCGTTCGTACCTTGTAGAATGGAAAGGCATATACAATACCCACATAAGGGGTATTCTGTTCTGTGTCGTAGAATATTTTCTGCTTTGTTCCCAGTATATCAGAGTTAAAGTTATTGCCAGTCTGGAGAGTTTGAGAAGCCTGGACTGAAGATGCCGCAATTGTGCTAAATAGTGGGTGGTCATTGGCAGCTGCTCCTTTGCTTGTAGAACAGGTGTGAGACTTATTACAGCAATTTCCAGGAGTGTGTCAAGGTGCTTATATGATATTTTAGAACAACAATAACATTTGTAAACATGAATTCTTACAGGAGAAATAATAGCATTTTCAAATACATACAACTTGGCTGTGTCTAAACTGGCCAGTTTTTCCCGAAAATCAGCCGCTTTTCCGGAAAAACTTGCCAGCTGTCTACACTGGCCGCTTGAATTTCCGCAAAAGCACTGACTTCCTACTGTAAGAAATCAGTGCTTTTTGCAGAAATACTATGCTGCTCCCGTTCGGGCAAAAGTCCCTTTGGGCCAGTGTAGACAGCTGAGATTTGTTTTCCACAAAAAAAAAAGCCCCGATCGCGAAAATGGTGATTGGGGCTTTTTTTGCGGAAAAGTGCTTTTGCGGAAAAGTATCCTGCCAATCTAGACGCTCTGTTCCGAAAATGCTTTTAACAGAAAACTTTTCCATTAAAAGCATTTCTGGAAAATCATGCCAGTCTAGACGTAGCCCTTGTGTGTGAAAGAGAGAATATCCACCATACGCTCACATTGGAGTCTGCATGTGTTACATAGTAGTCATTTTTCTTGTATTGTGTATACATGGATGTCATACAAGGAGATTGTACAAATAAATAATTCTATGACCTGCCCTTCATGCTTTGTGATACAAACTCTTTTTCTGGCACACACATTAGTCAACTCTCAGTGCTAATTCCAAATCGCCGCCCAAAATAATTAGCCTCATTCTGATGTCACTTACATTAGCATCATACCAATGCAAGTCTGTTGATATCACATGCACAGGATATCAAAATGAGGTCCAGTGTATCTTTTTGAAACAGCAGCAATGCATTGGCCACACTGCACCCCTTCAAAAAAAGAGAAGGAGGGGTCACAATGTACAGAACCCCACAGAAAATATACCTCCACAAAATGTAAAAATTAACAGTTCTCCCAAAATTGCCTTGTGGACAACAGACATCTACTATATGTATTGGGCTAAATTCTAGTTTCATTTTCAACTATTAAGATGGCCGCCTCAATGTGTCTCAGCTCTGAAGTACTCACTGCCCCAGAGAAAGAAACTCGGAGCTTGTGTCCACACGCCGAGGATCAACGTTGCAGTGATCGATCCACTGGCCATGGATGGCCAAGCGCTCTCCAATCGATGCTGGTACTCCACTGGGACGAGAAAAGTAGCCGACATTGACAGAGAGCAACTCCCACCAACCTTACTATGACACAAGACTCTGAAATAAGCACATGAATTATTTATGTGGCTGAAGTCATGTACAATAGATTGACGGTGGGAGTTAGTGTAGGCGAGGCCTCAGCCACTTTCTTAATTCTTTCTTGTGATACAAGGGCAGTCAACAACACTGAAACAAAGACCATTTTAAATGAATGAAAGGAAGGATTTTTTTTCTAAATAACTCACAATTCACTTGTGGAACTCAGTTCCAAAAGATAGTACAAGAGCTTAGAGTTTGACGGGAGTTGCCTACTGGTTTCCCGTTTGTGCTCCATGAACAAGCAGTGAGCCACAAAATCTCTCTGTTCTGCACAAGGAGTTGGGCTACTGGCTCAACAGCCTTAATTGACCTGTTGCCAGGACACCTGTAGAAGGAAGGAAAGTGCTGGATCTATCACTAGAACCCACACCACATACCTGTGCTCTTTTATAAAAGGAGCCGCTCTTTCCTTCCCTTGAAGTTGGAGAGAAGCCACCTGCAGAATCAGAGCCAGATGGGACCAGATGGAGGAAGCCACCTGCCCGTAGCACCCAGATGTACCATATGCTGGAAGGAAAGGAACTAGGACACAACCAGGCAGGTACCTTGAGGACTAGTCTGAAAGCCGAGGGGCCACAGAACTGGAGGGCTACAAGTCTGGGGAGCAGGCTGGGAGCCAGGGACAAGGACAGGACTGAGGCCCAAGAAGTGAGTGAAATTGGACAGATGTGTGGTGGGGATGTTTAGTTTATGTGAGAGTGGCTGGGGTTGGGAGGTATTTCAATGTGCAGCAATTCTCAGTCCTACACCAAAACCAAAAACAATCACTCGCCTTCCCCAAGAGAATTATTGTAGCTGCTAGGAGAGGAATGTTGTCAAGGGTGTCGAAACAATTTTTAGGGCATGGATGCTGAATCACGCCCCCTCCCTTACACCTCTGATGTGCCCCTCTGACGGCTGACAACTCTCCCAGACCTGACTAACCAGATGCCATCTCTGGCAATGGCATCCAGTCTTATGACTGGGAGAGTTGGCAGCCCTTGCCGCCCGCAGAAGGGCAACTTCTGAGCCCTGGGCCAAGGCCAGGAGCAGAGTCATGTGCCAGCAGCTGCTAGCCTGGGCCCTGGGGCTAGCAGAGCCATCAGGCTGCAGATCCTGCAGGGGTGAGGCCAGTGGGGGACGGTACCCAAAGGGCCAGCAGATCCTGTGAGGCTGGTGGGCAGCAGCAAAGCCAGTGGGGCCAGCACCCAGGGCCAGCAGTGGGGCCAGGCCCCATGTGTGGGGAAACTTGGGGGCAAAATCTCGAGGTTGCTACAGCACCCTTCATACTCCTACTTCCCGCACGTAAGGAGGTTGCCTGATACCAGAGTGCAGCCTGATGTGGAGGAGATGATCTTTCTATTGAGAGAGGGGTCCACCCTGTGAAAAAATACAGGAGTCTTTTGGAATAAGCCTGGTTATGGCTAATAAGAACATTGCAAGTTCATACCATCAGCTAGAGGTGTTGGTGTTTGCTTGGTTTGATTGGCTGGATTTTTTAGAGATACAAACTCCCATGATTCAGGCTGCATAAACCAACCACTAACTGAGGGGGCTAGCAAGAAAATTACCATACAGGCAGGTTGTTCCCTGATGGCCCCCTGTAGGAATTCTTGCATTTTCCTCTGAAACCTCCGGTATGGGACACCACTGGTGTAGAAGTAAGTGGAGAATGTAGAACTAGGTGGACCACTCATCTGGTCTAGTGATATCTATTTTCCCATGGATCCTATTTCATCTTAGCCAAAGGCAGAATGCCCATGGACTCCCTGGGTGGAACAAAATGTTTCCTCAGTTCATACACATGCAAAATTCCCCTTGGCTGCAGTGGGAGTTATGGCTGAGTCAGAACCATGCAAACCATACAGCATCTTCCTGGCGCTTTGTGCTGTTGTTTAAGAATGACATCACCACTCTGACCCCTGACAGGGTGACTCCCAGGCTGTCTTTTCCGTACCACCCCAGACACTAATGGAGCCTCCTTCACAAAGTGGCCATGGGTCTAGTTTGTGATCATACCTGTATCCAATGGAATGTGTGAACAGCAAATCAGACTTGTATTTTGGAAAGCAAACAGTATTAACCCTGTCAGTTCTAAGGGATCAGAGTGAAGCACTGTGGGGCTGTAGTGGTTAAAAAGAAGAAGATAAAATAACCTAAACTAACCGCCCTATTACCTAAATGAGAAAACAATCAGAACAGTTTTATCTTGGCTGCACAACGGGGTACGCATCTTTACAAATCTGTTAAGCAGCTGTAGTGTCTTCCCAGTTGTAATGTCTCCCCTATGAGCTACAGGATTAGATAGTGCCATCAAATTATTTTGAATCGTTTTATGCATCATCCTGGGTAGACTTAAAAACAATAAACCAGTGTGTCATGCTCACCTGGAATCCCTTTTGCAATTCAATGACCAGCCCCAAAAGCAACTTTTCATTGGTGGTTTTGATATTTTTAGAGGGGGGGGAAGATATGTAAATTTGAATTTCTATGTGAGTTTAAAAATGCAGTTAAGTCTCTCTGGAGGTCAGGGCTACCTCCCACAGCTCTGTGACTTTTTGTACTTTCCCACATCAGATAAATGGAGAGTTATTTGCAGATTCTGGATGTTTAGCTCTGCACTGCACATCTAAATGCAAATAGCTCTGGAATCAGGAGCTAGGATGTTTCAAAGAAAGCCCAGACTGCTCCGTGCAACTTGAATCAGAGCTTTGTCGACAAGCCCAGCTCTTCCTCCACAGTAAGGTGTTTATTTAAGGACAGACTCTGCTGGATGTATGTGACATAGAGACAGTCATTGCAAAGAACGTTATCTCTGTTTCCAGAAAACAAGTCTACTGACCTAAATGCACAGAGTTAAATTCTCTCTGAACTATTGCTGTTCTTCAAGCAGCTTCTGAGAATGAAATATTATTGTAAAATTTCATCTTTCTTCTAGCATTTTTATTTTCCTTTTCCCTGCCATTCTCCTATGACTCCTCCCCCCCCCCCCAAAAATTATTTCAGCAGTATGAACTAGAGGTGATTGTTTAAAGAATCAGCCATATCATTGCACAAAATACTTTATTGTATATAGGTTTGGCTTCATAAGAAAAGCTGATAATGTAAAAGATTTCCAAAGGACATTTGCCCACTAATGTACAAAGAAAGTCTCAATATTTCTGGAAGGAATAATTAAAAAACATCTCTTGTCTATAATGCATCTAGGAGAACTGAAAAATGCATGGGGACCAGTTAGTTAATTGTCACTGGTAGATGTCCAGTTTTTAACAAGGTAACTACATATGATTAACAGTTTATTATAGTGATCAATGGGCCTTTAAGTTTTAGAACATCTGATTCTATAAAAACTGCAATGGCTCCATTCTACATCATTCAGAATCTGATTTTGCTCTGTAAACAGCTTCAGTGACACAGACGCAATGAAGATAACAATAAAAAATGCAAGTACCATTCACTAAAGCCATGAGAATTCACACCATGAATTACATACAGTGTCCAGCAAACAGGATAGTACAGAAGGAAATTCCATTTGTGATTACTTTTGCTCCAATCATACACCATTTATCTATTCAATTTATTTCAATTACCAAGTTTGAGGCCAGGCAGCATCACAGTCATTGCTTGTGTGTCCTGGAAAATGTATGTATTAATTGCAAAATAACACATGCACACACACGAAAAACACATTATTAAACCGGTGTATGGGTTTTTGTTTGTTTGTTCGTTTTATCATGGAATTAAAATAGTTGAACAAAAACAGGTCTCAGGTGCATGATAGATGAGAAGGATATACCATCAGGCCCCTGTCCTGTTTGTATCAAACAATGCAAAAACCTCTAGAGTATATTTTGTACAGCCAATGTAAAAAAATTACCTTAAAGTAAATTGGGAAGAAAAAAACTCAGCCAAGACATCTGCTGAGAACAAGATCGTTTGAAAAATACCCTAAAATCCTAATATTTTGAACCCATGTAATTAATTCTTGATTTTATATAATATAAATATATATATATATATATATACGATTGTAGTGTGTGTATAATTGGCTATCAAATTGCATATTTTTTTGTTACTGAAAATTAAATACCGTCTCGGACAAGTGCAGAGGAAAATACGAGAGGAAGGGGATCCCGATCTGATAAAATCTACCTTGCACTTGGGGATCGAGCATCAGGGACGCATTGAAAGCGGGGCTGGCGTTGTATCCAGCTGGCAGGCTCTCCAAAGCCAGCTTGGAGGCGCTCGGGTCCCAGCCTCCTTCCGCCTGCGCGTCCCCTTTGGCTGGCTTGGGGAGAGTCTGATGGGCTAGGATGCTCTCTATGCTGAAGCTGCTGGACTTCTCGGAGCTCTTCGGGGGCAGTGGCTGTGTCCCGGCAGCAGCGCCCACCTGGCTCCGCTGGGCACGTGGGCAGAGCAGGCGTGCGCCGGCGGGGCGGGTGCGCTGACCTGCCTTGGCCTTTGCCAGCCCAGTCTCCTCCGCCTCGCCCTCCGAGCAACTCTCCGCCCGTTCCCCCTCGGGACTGCTTTCCTCCAGGGAGGTGGGGCGCGGGGCGCGCAGAGGAGCCGCGCGCCTGGAGGGACGGGGCGGGCCCCAAAGGGCAGCGGGCCCTTCGGGGCCAGGAGGAGCTGCGGAGACGGGGGCGGCTGCCCCGGGGCATCCCACAGTGCTGGCTTGGGTCTCGCCTTCCTCCAGCGCATCCCCAGAGTCGTCCTCCCGGCCGCAGGCTGGCTCCTCTCCCGCGGAAGTAGCCTGGCTCCCCCGGACTCGCTTGGGGAGCCCCTCCGAGGGGTGTCCAGCCCCCTCCGCCTCTGCTTTGCTCCTGGTCTCCGGGGAGGCTTTGGGCTTTCTCTTCCTCCGCCGGTAGTTCCCGTTTTCGAACATATCCAGGCACCTGGGGTCTAAGGTCCAGTAGCTGCCCTTGCCCGGCCTGCCTTTCTCCCGGGGCACCTTGACGAAGCACTCGTTGAGCGAGAGGTTGTGGCGGATGCTGTTCTGCCAGCCCTGCTTGTTGTCGTGGTAGAAAGGGAAGCGCTCCATGATGAACTGGTAGATGCCATTGAGGGTCACCTTCTGCTCCGGCGCCTCCTTGATGGCCATGGCGATGAGGGCGATGTAGCTATAAGGAGGCTTCTGGGGAGGGTCCTGCCTGGAGACCGCGCTGGAGGATGCAAAGCCCAAAGCAGCCGGCAGCCCAGCCCGGTCCGCCCCGTACAGATAGACCATGGAGGAGCCCGCGAGCGGGCTGCTCATGGGACCGAGGTGGCTGCTGAAAATGTGGCTCATCGCGGATGGGGCTTCCAAGGACAAGGGAGAAACCCTCCACGACTCCACCAGGGAGAGATTGGTGTGAGCGCCGACCCTGCCTCAGTCAGTTTGTTCTCCGTCTGTCCCTGCTTCATAGCTCTTTTTTTAAAATGTTAAATAATTGTTGTAAGTTTGCTATTATATGTTGACTTAGCACTGGAAAATAAATTGTCTCCGATAAACAGTCGTTTGTGTTCTCAGCCCACCCACATTAATTAAAATATCCTTGCTACACAATTCCAGGCTCCCTCCACGTGTCTCTCCGGTACCAGCCAATGGTTCCCCGGGTTTTTCCTTCATTTGTTTATAGAATTAGTCTGTTGATAAGTCTGCCCACCCAAGTCGAATCAAGCTGTGTTTATTTGGAAAAATTTCCGGGCACCCAATATATAAACGCACTGATCTGATGTTTGAAATATCACGTCCACCCTTTGACGCGGGGAGCACACACAGACAGCACAGGCAGGATGTACGCTGCTGGAGCGCAGAGGGAGAAGGGGCCGAAACTCCTGGGGAAAGGGGAGTTTGTGTTTTGGGAAAGTATCAATAAGGAAACAGGCCACGAAATGGAGCGGCGAGGAAGAGCCGAGGGGGCCCGTCTCTCTCCAAGTGGAGCGCACGGATGGATCCTCCACGGGTGTAAACCAGCGGAGCTGAGTTACACCCGCTGCGGGTCTAGCTTTGCGCCTTCAAACCAGCCGTGAGGGCTGCTCAGATCAGCCATAGACATCCAAGCTTCCAGAGGCCAGATCTGCATGAACGGTCCAGTAGACAGGACACGTCAGTGGAAACCAAAAAATGGGGTCGCCGCGCAATCCGGTGTCTGCTCCTGAACTCTGTGTAAACAGGCTGCTTGCACCGAGTGGTGCTAATATAGTCTCTCTAACCTCGATCAAGGGGGAGAATCCCCCCTCCCCACCCAGGCACACACACAGCCAGCAGGAAGAAAGTCTGGTTTCGGACTGGCATGAGGCTAGTGAGGTGTGTTTGCAGCGGTGAAACGAGCCTTATTTTCGAGGAACCCAAATTGAAGGGGATTTTATGATTATTTGGGGGGTCACGGTGGGCTTGCAATGCGCAAGCGACGCTCCATAAAAGGCGAACTTGGCAGGCAGGAGGGGGAGGATTAGTATTTGTGAATGCAGGCCTGTTGCTTTATATTATGTACTTTCCTGTTTATACCAAGGAGGGGGATTGTAACAACTTTACAAGTGCACACAGCTGGCCGGTGATTACATTAGGCATTTGTGATGCTCTTTTTTTTTATAAACGTTCAGGGTCTCTTTTTTAATTGACTGATGTAACGATTTTAATCAAAGGTGCAGCCTCGGCCCGATGCAGAAAGAAGTGTCAGCTATTTAATGAGGCTGATGGAGAGACACCCCCCCCCTTCCTCCCCCAAAGCGAGGCATCTGAGGTTGTGAAATATTGGCAGTTCGCTCGCTCTTGGTGGGTAACCGGGCCAGATGTGTAGGGACCTGGGGTGTCCCCAGTTTTTAAAGCAGTCAGTGGCGGGGGTGGTCTAAAAACCGATGGCGAGCGATGGTCCGTGGAAATTAACATCTGACCCGAGGCAATTTTTTAGGGAGCTGCGTAGAGGCAGATCTGAGTCATGAACAGGCCGTTTCTGTTCTCATGCGTGGTTCCTTAGAGGCGGCCTGCCAGGGCCATCTCTTCTGGGAGCGAAATGGGCTCCGAAGGAAACAGGGGCCACATGTCTTATAGGAGCTGATCCAGAGTCGAATGGCTTCCCTGAGCCAAACGCCTTTTAATGCGAACATTCGCTGGCGTATAGCAGCGGGGTAACTTCTGAAAAATCATCGGGGAAATTACCCGTGCCCTTAGGAACCAGGTGCCCGATTCTGTACACCGTGACCAGGTAAAGCTATTGACTGGAATGGGCCTACTGGCTGAGGGCAGTTTTAAAAAAGGCTAATTGGTGATTCCTTTGGGATTAGCTCCCACGTGCCCCGCGGAAGATCCGAAATGGCGAAGAACGTGGCTTTTATTTCTGCATTCTCCCACGAATCCAGCAGGGGATCCGATTTACAACTGGAGTCCGAAATCCTCTCGCTTCGGATTTGCAAATTACTTCTTTTTGGAGGAAAGTGGATTCCTAGAGGGTGTTTTTTTGGGGGGAGGGGGATCTATCTTGGGCCATCACTGCCACGAAGTCTGCGTATTGATGGGGTTGTAACTCTCTGAGGTCAGGCACTACTTCCTCGAATTAAACCAGAGGGGGGATCAATCGAACCTAGGCCCCGGGCCCCCGGCCCCCGTTCACACAGGTTGTAAACCTCCACCACTTCTAGTGGATGAAAATTGCACATTCCATGGGGCGACTCAGATTAGCAAGCGCCTTTCCCTCCTCGGGGTTGCTTGATTGTCCGTTTCCCACGTGTGCCAAAAAAAAATCCCTGGACCCTTGGCTCAGTTTGGAAATCAATTCTCCTACGCATCTCTTCGTTAAACATTATTTCACATAAAACCGCCTTGTAAAGGGAGCTCCGTGCCTCAGTGGCGGCGCGCAGCTGCCTTCACTCAGCTGACACCTTCCTGACATCTGCCGCGGAGATTTTAACCGGGAGATGGACGGGTTAACGTCGCCCGTCTCCCCCGAGGCTTTATTTAAATTCTCGCAGACTCTAGTGCGTCTCCTTGAGACATCCAAGCAAGGAATAGTCAAACCATAAATACCCTCACCCATGGCAGCGGGCCCGGGCTACAGCCACGGACTCACATGGCCCCACGAGAGTTTGCTGCCTCGCTTGTGGGGCCCGAGCGGCAAGGGAATCCCCTCGGGGCTCGGAGAACACAGACGTTCGCCTGGGCTCGAAGCGCCACCGCGCTGGATTTCCCCAGCAGCGCGCTGGCCGCCGGGCTGCGTGGCCCTGCTCTGGTGCCTGCC